ATGATGGATTGGGAGGATCCCCGACCGGAGCCGGAACCGGAACCGAAACCGGAACCAGAACTGGAACCGGAACCAGCACTTTCCTGCATGTCCCGAGCTGCCGGCGGCAAAGATGATGGATTGGGATGATCCCCAACCGGAACCGAAACCGGAACCAGCACTTTCCTGCATGTCTGCAACGTCCAACCCAGAGCTGCCGGCGGCAAAAATGATGGATTGGGATGATCCCCAACCGGAACCGGAAACGGAACCAGAACCGGCACTTTCCTGCATGTCTGTAACGTCCAACCCAGAGCTGCCGGCGGCAAAGATGATGGATTGGGGTGATCCCCAACCGGAACCGGAACCGGAACCGGAACGGACGGGAACCAGCACTTGCCTGGCATTGTCGATCCTGCAACGTCCAACCCAGAGCTGCCGGCGGCAACGATGATGGATCGGGGTGAGGGATGATCCCCAAACCGGAACCGGAACGGAAACCGAAACCGGAACCGAACAGCACTTTCTCGCATGTCTGACGTCAACCAGAGCTGCGGCGGCCAAGATGATGGATTGGGATGATCCCAACCGGAACCGGAAACCGGAACCGGAACCGGACCGGGGAACCGGAACCGGAACCGGAACCAGCACTTTCCTGCATGTCCCGAGCTGCGGCGGCAAAGATCATGGATTGGGATGATCCCAACCGGAATCCGGAAACCGGCACGGATACCAGCACTTTCCTGCATGTCCTTGCAACGTCATACCCCGAGCTGCCGGCGAAAAATGGGGGGGGAAAACATTTGGGGTAAATTTTTTTGGGGGATGATCCCCGACCGGCACCGGAACCGGAACCGGAACCGGAACCGGAACTGGAACCGGAACCAGAACCAGCACATTCCTGCATGTCTGCAACGTCCAACCCAGAGCTGCCGGCGGCAAATATGATGGATTGGGATGATCCCCAACCGGAACCGGAACCGGAACCGGAACCGGAACCAGCACTTTCTTGCATGTCTGCAACGTCCAACCCAGAGCTGCCGCGGCATAGATGATGGAGTGGGAGGTTGATCCCCAACCGGAACCGGAACCGGAACCGGAACCAGAACCAGAACTGGAACCGGAACCGGAACCAGCACTTCCCTGCATGTCCCGAGCTGCCGGCGGCAAAGATCATGGATTGGGATGATCCCCAGACGGAACCGGAACCGGAACCGGAACCGAAACCGGAACCAGAACTTTCCTGCATGTCTGCAACGTCCAACTCAGAGCTGCCGGCGGCAAAGATGATGGATTGGGATGATCCCCAACCGGAACCGGAACCGGAACCGGAACCGGAACCAGCACCTTCCTGCATGTCTGCAACGTCCAACCCAGAGCTGCCGGCGACAAACATGATGGATTGGGATGATCCCCAACCGGAACCGGAACCGGAACCGGAACCAAAACTGGAAAACCGAACCGGAACCAGACTTTCCTGCATGTCCCGATCTGCCGGCGGCAAGATCATGGTTGGGATGATCCCAACGGAACGGACCGGAAACCGAACCAGCACTTTCCTGCATGGTCTGCAGACGTCAAACAGAGCTGCGGCGGCAAGATGATTGATTTGGTGTTCCCCAACCGGGAACCGAAACGGAACAGGAACCGGCACTTTCCTGCATGTTGTACCGTCCAACCCAGATGCTGCGGGCGGCAAAGATGATGGATTGTGGATGATCCCCAACCGGAGCCGGAACGAACGAAAAACCGGAGCCAAGAACTGGGAACCGGAACCGGAACCAGATTTCCTGCCATGTCCCGAGCTGCGGCGGCAAGATCATGCATGGGATGATCCCCACCGGAACCGGAACGGAACCGGACCGGAACCAGACTTTCCTGCATGTCTGCAACGTCCAACCCAGAGCTGCCGGCGGCAAAAATCATGGATTGGGATGATCCCCAACCGGAACCGGAACCGGAACCGGAACCGGCACTTCCCTGAATGTCTGTAACGTCTGCAACCCAGAGCTGCCGGCGGCAAAGATGATGGATTGGGGTGATCCCCAACCGGAACCGGAACCGGAACCGGAACCAGCACTTTCCTGCATGTCGATCTGCAACGTCCAACCCAGAGCTGCCGGCGGCAAAGATCATGGATTGGGATGATCCCCAACCGCAACCGGAACCGGAACCGGAACCGGAACCAGCACTTTCCTGCATGTCTGCAACGTCCAACCCAGACCTGCCGGCGGCAAAGATGATAGATTGGGATGATCCCCGACCGGAACCGAAACCGGAACCGGAACCGGAACCGGAACCGGAACCAGCACTTTCCTGCATGTCCCGAGCTGCCGGCGGCAAAGATCATGGATTGGGATGATCCCTAACCGGACTCGGAACCGGAACCGGAACCGGAACCAGCACTTTCCTGCATGTCTGCAACGTAACCCAGAACTGCCGGCGGCAAAGATGATGGATTGGGATGATCCCCAACAGGAACCGGAACCGGAACCGGAACCGGCACTTTCCTGCATGTCGATCTGCAACGTCCAACCCAGAGCTGCCGGCGGCAAAGATGATGGATTGGGATGATCCCCAATCCCTGGTCATCTGATCCTCCTGTTTTTTGGAGACTACTAAAAGTGATTGCGCCGTGCGAGTGCTATTATACAGTTTGTAGTTGATCTCCTAAATTTTTTAGGGTAACGTAATCCTCTAAATTTTGGAGTGTGTGCATGTTTGTATTTCATATATCATATATGCAGGTCTCATATTCACATATTAAACAATGTGGTGTGACCGATACAGGCGCAACCAATATTCGTTTACATCACTGCACACGTGCGCGTTCGATCGTGAGTGCGAGAGCCGTGGATGAACGGGGGCCCGCGGCGCGGGGCATGTCGTTGCCGCCGTCTAACCTGCTCAGTTGTTTTTATCGCCTGCTAGTTTGCTCTGCTCGCCTGCTTGTTTGCTCTGCTCGCCTGGTCGTTTGCTCAGCTTGTCTGCTCGTTTGTTCGTTTGTCCTGCTCGTGTTTTTGTGTCGTTGCGGCGTGCTCGTTTGCCCCGACGCATTGTCTATATTTAAGTGGTTTTGCCTGTTGGCGTTTCGCCTGAGTTCCCTTTAGGCTCTCTCGAGGGACCCATGGGGAGGCGCCGTGAGAGGCGGGGCCCGAGGCCTCTGGGGGCTGGGGGGGACCAGAGAGGGCGCAGAGGATGAAGTTGAGGGCGGCTCCTGTTTCAAAACGGGGTTCTCGCTTGAGTTCCCGATGGGGCGCTCTGGAGGGACCCATGGGGAGGCGCCGTGAGAGGCGGGGCCCGAGGCCTCTAGGGGCTGGGGGGGACCAGAGAGGGCACAGAGGATGAGGTTGAGGACGGCTCCTTTTCAAAACGGGGTTCTCGCTTGAGTTCCCGATGGGGCGCTCTGGAGGGACCCATGGGGAGGCGCCGTGAGAGGCGGGGCCCGAGGCCTCTGGGGGCTGGGGGGGACCAGAGAGGGCGCAGAGGATGAGGTTGAGGGCGGCTCCTGTTTCAAAACGGGGTTCTCGCTTGAGTTCCCGATGGGGCGCTCTGGAGGGACCCATGGGGAGGCGCCGTGAGAGGCGGGGCCCGAGGCCTCTGGGGCTGGGGGGGACCAGAGAGGGCACAGAGGATGAGGTTGAGGGCGGCTCCTGTTTCAAAACGGTGTTCTCGCTTGAGTTCCCGATGGGGCGCTCTGGAGGGACCCATGGGGAGGCGCCGTGAGAGGCGGGGCCCGAGGCCTCTGGGGGCTGGGGGGGACCAGAGAGGGCAGAGGATGAGGTTGAGGGCGGCTCCTGTTTCAAAACGGGGTTCTCGCTTGAGTTCCCGATGGGGCGCTCTGGAGGGACCCAAGGGGAGGCGCCGTGAGAGGCGGGGCCCGAGGCCTCTAGGGGCTGGGGGGGACCAGAGAGGGCACAGAGGATGAGGTTGAGGGCGGCTCCTGTTTCAAAACGGGGTTCTCGCTTGAGTTCCCGATGGGGCGCTCTGGAGGGACCCATGGGGAGGCGCCGTGAGAGGCGGGGCCCGAGGCCTCTGGGGGCTGGGGGGGACCAGAGAGGGCACAGAGGATGAGGTTGAGGGCGGCTCTTGTTTCAAAACGGGGTTCTCGCTTGAGTTCCCGATGGGGCGCTCTGGAGGGACCCATGGGGAGGCGCCGTGAGAGGCGGGGCCCGAGGCCTCTGGGGGCTGGGGGGGACCAGAGAGGGCACAGAGGATGAGGTTGAGGGCGGCTCCTGTTTCAAAACGGTGTTCTCGCTTGAGTTCCCGATGGGGCGCTCTGGAGGGACCCAAGGGGAGGCGCCGTGAGAGGCGGGGCCCGAGGCCTCTAGGGGCTGGGGGGGACCAGAGAGGGCACAGAGGATGAGGTTGAGGGCGGCTCCTGTTTCAAAACGGGGTTCTCGCTTGAGTTCCCGATGGGGCGCTCTGGAGGGACCCATGGGGAGGCGCCGTGAGAGGCGGGGCCCGAGGACTCTGGGGGCTGGGGGGGGGACCAGAGAGGGCACAGAGGATGAGGTTGAGGGCTGCTCCTTTTCCAAAACGGGGTTCTCGCTTGAGCTCCACTTCAGGAGGCGGGGCTCGAGGCCTCTGGGGGCTGGGGTGGGCAACGGCTTACAGGACGAGGTCAATGGCATCTCCTTTTCAAAACGGGAGCTTCGATTGAGTTCCAGCTGGGTATCTTTCTTGCTCTCATTCTCTCTCTCTCTCTCTCTCTCTCTCTCCCTCTCGCTCTCTCCCTCCCGTAGTATACCTCTCTCTTTCTCTCGATCTCTCTCATGTGTTCGGTTTCTCTATGTCGATTGCTCTCCCTCTCTATCGTGATCTCTCTCACTCTCCCTATCTCTCTATCTCTCTGACTTCCCCCATCCCCCCTCTTTGATTGGATGGGGGGCTTGGACGAGACAGATGAGGATAATGAAGGAGGAATGCTTTATGTGTGTGTGTGCTGCTACTCCACCTTGATCTAAGGCGCCTGTGGCGCCAGCAACGCTGATGCCTCGATCGGGCCAGCGTGAACGGCATCAGGCTTCATCGGTCGGTGCTGCCATCGCAACCACTGCGTCGAAGGAAAGGGCTGGATCGTCGTAAAAACCGACCTGGATCCCCGAGGCTGAGTTGAGCTGCCTGTCTTTGAGGAGCTCTGTGAACCTATCGTCGTTCCTGGTTTTCTCAAACTGGGCCTCGGACACTGGCTTTATGTAGAACGCCTTCCTTTCGAGTAGTACGGAGATGGCAGCGTCGCCGTCGTCGGCCTTGGGCAGCGTGTAGGATTTGCGGCCAGGCTCGAGGTTGGTGATCCTGGCCTTGGGCGGGAGCGTGTTCATGATATCGCTCCCATTGAAGATCTCTGAAGTCTCTGATTCGCCGTCGCCAGTGTGTTTCTTCTCGGCTGGCTCCTCGAGGACATCGGCTGCCGCAACTGGTCGTTTCATTCCAGTCTCGTGAGGTTTGGCTTTGCCTTTGGCCTTGGCTTTGCTTTTGCCCTTGGCTTTCCGTTCTTAACCTTCAAGGTGGAGTCTGCAGCTTCGGGCTTCAGTATCGAAAGGCCATCTTCGGCGAGGCTGCTGTTCGGGAGCTCGGTCGCCCACGGCTCAGCGGAATATTTCACTTCGAAGTGCGCCAGAACCATGCCATCCTCCCCAGCAGAGTACTTCACGGCTGGAGCCCGAGAGCCATCCGAAAGCAGCACGTAGGTTTTCATCTCAGTGTAGTTGAAGCACTTGTCGATTACGATCGTCGATTCGTCCTCATCGTCGTCTTCGCCGTCCAAGTCGCTGTCGCGGTAGTAGATGAACGGGTTGAGAATGTTCTTCTTGGCCGTGGGTGCTGGGCTGTCAGGCTTGATCTTTTCGTAGATCGCCACGAGCGGTGCAGGGTGCGCACGGGCGTCGGTCTTGTTCTTCAGGCTAGTGTACTGATCGAACTTCAGCCTGAGGTGCGAGGCCATGACCCGAATCATGTAGCTGATCTTCACCGTGCCGACGTTGAGGTCGTCCCACTTCCTGAACGCGCACATCGCCTTGAACACCTCTCGGTGCTCATCCTTGAGAACGCTTACCATCATCGCCTTCTGGAGGTCGGACTGCCTGAAGTATGCTCCCCGTGGGTCGATGTCCACGAGGTCGCTCAGCAGGCCGTTGTACTTCTTGGCGAGGTGGTCCGTGCAGACGCCAATTTTCATGTCGATTGACTCGTAGTCCCAGCCGCCCCCAGCGATGATCGGCCCCATATGGTCGTCGATCGCTTTCTCCAGAAGAGTTGCATCGCCTCGCCATGCGGGCGCTCTAGCGTGAGTTGATATCTATAGCGTGGTGGAGTAGCACGCGAGCCCCGTCAAAGCCAAATCGGCTGCGGAAGATGCCAATGAGGAGAGGAACATGAGGGGGATGGATAAGAGAGGTGAGAGCATCAGGGAGCACAGGAGAGCAGCAGTGGCAGCATAAGCATAAAGGTTGAGGAAGGGTGATGATGATGATGCTGATGAGGATGATGGGGATGCTGATGATGATGATGACGATGACGATGATGATGATGATGATGATGATGATGGTGATGCTGATGATGATGATGCTGATGATGATGATGCTGGTGATGATGATGATGATGATGATGCTGATGATGATGATGCTGATGATGATGATGATGATGATGGTGATGATGATGATGATGATGATGCTGATGATGAGGATGATGATGATGATGATGGTAATGCTGATGCTGATGATGATGATGATGCTGATGATGATGATGATGATGCTGGCGATGATGATGATGATGATGATGATGATGATGGTGATGATGATGATGATGATGATGATGATGATGATGATGGCGAGGAGGAGGAGGAGGAACAAGACGTGCTTGTTGCAGCACCCCAAGCTTGCATCGAGCAGGCCGACGCGGTCTCCAGCAGCTCACCTTGCCCCGACGTGAGCTGGGCGGGAAACTGTGAAAGCCACACTCGTCGGATCGAGTGTGTTGTGTGGGAGTGGCTCGCTCTCGGCTCTCAGCTCAGTTCTTCGCCTTCACTTTGGCGAAGTCGGCAAGCACGTTCGTCTTGTAATCCTTGTAGAATGCCTGCACCTCTTTGACGGCTTCATCGAGCTCCATAGCCTTCTTCTGGATGTCATCAGATGAATGTTTCGACATCTCTGCGAAGTTATTCTTCTCTGTGATCCACTTGGTCTCGAGGTCCTTCGCGTTCGTGGCCTGCTTCTCGGTGTTGCTCTGCAGGAAGGCCATGGCGCCAGAGGACCACGAGTGCGTGGCCAGGCGAGCTTCGATGGCACGGACATCGCCGAGCTCCTTGCTCATCTTGTCGACCTGCGCTTTCATGTCCTTCAGCGCCTTCCTGAGCTGGTCCTCCACCTGGGTCCGCGCTGCAGCCTCGGGGCTCGGGGCTGGCGGTGGCGCACGAGGCCGACTGGATGCTGCGGACTGGCCGTTGTGCTGGCCCTGCGGGTCGACAACATTCCTTTTAAGGTTCTTTTCCGTTGGTCCCACGAAGCCTCCGAAATCTGAGATGCCCGAGGAGCCAAAGAAGGCCCCTTCGGGTTCGCGACCCCAGACTTTTGACCAAGGGATTCCGAGTTTGGCGAAACCGAGTCTGCAAAACAAGCAGTTCGCAGGCCCCTCTCGGGGCCTCCGAATCCTGCCCTTCTTCCGTTCATCCTCTCCTCCCGCGTTCCCTCCACTCCCTCTCCTCCCTCCACTTCCTCCCCTCCTCCTCGACTCCTCCTCGTCACCCTATCCCTTCAAAGGAATGTTGTCGCCCGAACTGCCCGAGCTCTTCTCTTCGGGACGCCGTGGGCGTTGCTGCGCAAGGCCTCCGAGACAGCGGCGGCGTCGTCGTTGCCGATCTCAGCCTTCTGCTCCACGCCGACGGTATCCTGCTTGGCTTTCTGGTAGAGATCCCAACTCACTCGGACCTTGTACTCCTTAACTTTGGCATCGTGGAGGGCCTTGTTCGAGCTGTGGTAGCGCCACTCGCACGTCGTGACAGCGATCTTCGCGTGGTCGAGGTTGTTCAGGTACTTTGGTCCTCCGCACTCAGACTCCGTGAGCCAGACCTCAATGGTATTATTCTCGACTCGCTCTGTGCGCTCGGTTCGCGAGAATGCCACAGAGCCGCCAGACGCAGGATCGAGGACGAACGACGACATCCACTCCCTGCGCAGGTCATCCTCGGTGAGCTTCCTGCACTCCTCCCACTTGTCAGGGAAGTCGGACTTCAGCACGTAGTTCAGCGACGAGAAGGCGCGCTGCCGAACGGCTCGAGGAGCTCCTTCGACGGCCGCAGCGGTCAGCTCTTGTCCCTCGGTGGCGATGCACTCCTTGAGCTCTTGCACGGCCTTAGGCAGCTGCCCAGTCTTGCGCTTCAACGCAGGCATTGCGTCACGTATGTATACTCGAGGTGGCCGTCGAGGAGTCTCGAGCCAAAATTGCTGAACTACAAACCCAGACAGACTGTTCGCCAGACGATGCCGCGGCGTTTCTCGACGCCTACTTCGGCGGATAGTCTGTCACCCCCCTCCCGACAGACTATCCGCCAGACGTTCCCGCTCGAGACATCCTCACAATCGATTGTCTGTCACCCCCCCTGCCGGACAATCCGCCGGACAATCAGAGGCCGGTAGGTTCCCTCAACGCGCGGGTTGGCCAACCTCTGACCCCAATTAAGCGATTGACGTGCAACCTCTGACCCCAATTAAGCGACCCCCTGAGAGGCCCTGAGGCTGCATTGAAATGGCGCCAAGATAATGCCAGAAGCCAACGCGAAGCCAGACGCCCCAAAAGAGCCTCACATACGTTAAAATATCCCAGGCGGAACTCCAAGAGAAGCCTACCCAGATGTCCCCAAGCTCCTGACCAAACTACTCCAAGATGAGCGCAATGGGCTGTAGCCCAGGTTCTTCGGGAAAGTAGGAGGTAAGGGAACGACGACTGCGATCAGGAAGTGTCACCATCGGCTTGGTCGAACTGGGGACAAGTAAAGAGGAGAAAGGTCAGGGCAATTTTATTGCCACATGGCTTCCGTCCAGGGTGCATGTGCTTAGTCGGATTCGGAGGTAGCAGCAATTTGGGCGAGAGCTTCCAGGTCCTCACTAACGGCAATGTCCCTCAACTCCTCTAGATGCCTGAGCGCATCGACCGCCATCGGCGCAATATCTCTGCCATCATCCATACCGTCATTGCTCGAGTCGACCTCGATGAGGGGTTGTATATGGGATTCGAGTTCTTCCGTGGGGCAGTTCTCTCGCGCGATCGGCGCGTCGTAGTCGCTGGTGCAAGGGCATGCCCAGTAGAATCTGACGTTTACATCAGCACCGAAGAACTTCACAACGAGCATGCACTGACCATGAACGCCGCAGATCGGAGCAGCTCGAGCCAAGGCGATGGTCTCAGGGGTCTCAGAGAATTCCCTCATGCACGTCATGCACTGCCAGCGGTTGGTTCTGCCACCACTCGGGGATCGCAAAGGAGACCATTGCATTCGTAGGTCAGTGCTCTCCTCGAACACGCCATCTGCGACCAAAACTCGAGGGCAGCACCAAGGGGCGACATGCCATGGGACAGGGTCATCGACGTCCACTGCGGGGTTGGGCACGTCGGGGGCGTCGTACTCATCTAGACGAAAACCACGGCAGCGCTCTATAAACAGCCTTGTGAACTCCGCGCTCCAAACGGTCCTGCACATGGGGCAAGAGCGCGGGCCTGGGGGGCCCATGCTCCAGTTGGCAAACTCGCAGCGCAGGTGAGTCACGTGTTCGCAGGGATGGACAACCACTGAATGCACTGGCATGATATGCTCAAGACAGTAGCAGCAGTTGAACGAGTCCATGGCCGAGAGCTGCTCTGGAGAAGCTCGCGCAATCACCCAGTCGACATGAGCCGAAATGGCTGCAGTGGAGGAGGAGGCGGAGGGAGGGGGAAGCGGAGGTGGGAAGACACCGATGCAGACGCCGACGCCACGGCATTAACCGTCGTTGTTGTTGTGCTTGTTGTTGTTGTTGGTGTTGTTGTTGTTGTTGTTGTTGAACATTATTAATTCTAAAGAATAATTATTGTTGGGACCCCTGGTGCACGGCCCCCCCGCCGCGCCTAGGCCGCAGCTACATTTTCATCATTTTTTCGCGAAAGCTTCAGAAAAGTGGATGGGGTCCAGATCCGGTTGTTTTGTTGTAATCCGTTTTCCCTTGCAAAAAACACTATAAAATGACATTTCTTGTTCTAATATAATCAAATTTCAAGAATCCCTTGCAAAAAATAAGGTAAAGTGGACATTCGCGCGCGCAAGACGAAATCCTTCCAAAAGCTTAGTGTTCGGAACGATTTTAACATAAAAACATCAAAAAACCAATGGTTTTTCAACAAAAAAATGTCAAAATCTCATCCCGCGCGCTCTTGCGGATTCGTAGGAAACCCAACACTTTTTAAACATTTCTGTCAAACGGGCTTTTGCGAGCAACTTTTTCGAACTTCTGCGACAACGGTTGCGCACCTGCCAGGGCCATCATCCCTGTCAAATAATACCATGCGGGACACATTCGTTTTTTCTTCGCGCGCGCACGCCGAAATCTCCAAAAACCATTGGGCTTCTTAAGAATTTTAGCACCGCGCATCATAAAATCACACGAATCGCACCGTAGGTCCTCGAAAAACACCTGCACGACTTTTCAAAATTTCTACCCGCGCGCGCTGTCCTAACAACTTCTGTGGGTGTGTACTCCACGCCAGTGTAGTAGCCACGGTCGTCCGCAGGCCACGAAGTGAAGTGTCCGAACGTCATAGGGCGGGAAGCTGGGTGTGGGTGGTGGCGAAGAGTCGTGTGGATATTTGGTAGAGCTTGCACTGCCCCCCCACAAAGTGGGGGTATTGGCTGGCGTCGCATGAAAACCCTGGCACTGGTGAGAACACTGAGCGTTCGGGTAAAGTGATTGTTGTTGTTGTTGTTGTTGTTGTTGTGCTTGTTGGTGGTGGTGGTGGTGGTGGTGTTGGTGTTGGTGTTGTTGGTGCTGCTGGTGCTGCTTATGTGTCTGCCGCCGCATCGGTTCGCACCCAACGGGTGCTATGTGTCTTTCAACCTCTCTCTTACGGTGCCTCTCTGCGTTGGCATCCTTGGCTGTGTGTTCGGTGTTGTTATTGTTGGATCTGTCATTGTTTCTGTCTCGTGAGTTCCTCTCTCTGTCTGTCGCTCTCTCTCTCTTTCTATAGCCTCTCTCTCTCTCT